GAATGCGGTGAAATACTATCATCATCTCCATGACACTCTGGGTTGTGGCCCCTCGGCATCCTCACATACAATGCATGGCTATTGGCCCGACATTGTACCTGATGGGGTCAGCATGTGACTGCCGGCCAGGAGCATCCTAGAGAGGAAGCTCAGGGGGAACGGTCACACAGATGGAGGGAGAAGTAAGGCATTACTCCTTATTCCTCTACACCTAGACCCAACCCTTGCAGTACGGGGGCACTGCTGGGGTATTATTTAATTACCAGATTTTAGCCTTAAAGGAGAACTATGAGGAGTGTTTTTCACTCACCTCATAGTTCTAGCCGACCTGTGACAATGAGACTGTCACAGGTCGGCTCAGTAGAGCGGAAGGTGAGCGAACACATACCGGCGTTCGCTCACTTCTCGATCCTGTCACAGCTCTCTGCCGTGACAGGGAGGGGCTGGATTCCCCCCTCCCCGCCAGCGATGACTGGCGGATCGGACGTGGGAGGGGGCGGGTATAGCTGGCTCTGCCTCTAGATAGGCAGAGCCAGCTGTCACTCACACAGCTGGGCGGATCCAGACATAATTGTTGGGATCCGCTTCAGCGTCTCTGTATACCCCGAGCAGTAGCTCGCGGTATACTGCAGCGTCTCAGTATACCGCAAGCTGTAGCTCGCGGTATACTGGGCTTAGGGTGACGGGAGGACGCTAGTTTGTGTCCTCCCGTTACCCTAAGGAGAACTATGGGGAAAAGCTTTAACCCCATAGTTCTCCTTTAATGGGGGGAATTTACCAAAACAGGAGAAGACATAATCTGGAGCAGTTGCCCGTGGCAAATAAGACTGTCACAGGTCGGCTCAGTAGAGCGGAAGGTGAGCGAACACATACCGGCGTTCGCTCACTTCTCGATCCTGTCACAGCTCTCTGCCGTGACAGGGAGGGGCTGGATTCCCCCCTCCCCGCCAGCGATGACTGGCGGATCGGACGTGGGAGGGGGCGGGTATAGCTGGCTCTGCCTCTAGATAGGCAGAGCCAGCTGTCACTCACACAGCTGGGCGGATCCAGACATAATTGTTGGGATCCGCTTCAGCGTCTCTGTATACCCCGAGCAGTAGCTCGCGGTATACTGCAGCGTCTCAGTATACCGCAAGCTGTAGCTCGCGGTATACTGGGCTTAGGGTGACGGGAGGACGCTAGTTTGTGTCCTCCCGTTACCCTAAGGAGAACTATGGGGAAAAGCTTTAACCCCATAGTTCTCCTTTAATGGGGGGAATTTACCAAAACAGGAGAAGACATAATCTGGAGCAGTTGCCCGTGGCAAATAATCAGCTTCTATCTTCAGTTAAGCTTTCCAAAGAATCTGATTGGTTACTGCTCCGGATTCTGTCTGCTCCAGTTTTGATATATTCCAGACATCCCAAGTCTCCCGGACGTTCCGGGAGTCTCCCGCTACTACATAGCGGCTCCCGGACGCCCGCAAGAGAGACATTTTATCCCGGAAAGGATTGAAACCTTTCCGGGTCTGCTGAGCTCACTAGTTCTGCTGAGTATAAATAAAGTTTTTAGCTGTAACGGAAAAAAAAGTTTGTGCCTGTAGATCCTGTAACGGTGGCTGGTCAGTGGAAGGGGTTTAGGCACGGCAGGGCGGCCTGTGATTGGCTGGAGACAAAAGTCCCTGAGCTAGCTCTGCAGACACCTTGTGAGTGCCGAGGCGGAGCCGATAGAAGACGCCTGTGGAGGGTGAGTGGCACACTTCTAGGGCTGCAACAACTAATCGACATAATCGATTATAATCGATTATTGAAAAAGTTGTCAACTTTTTCAATCATCGATAGTGATTATTAATATACTATGCTGCTGCTGTCAATCAGCAGGTCAATCAGAGGTGGACCTGAGGTGCTCAAGAGCAAGCCTGCTATTGGCTATTGCAATTTGAAATGAACAATAGCAGCCTAGCTATTTATTCCCCTGCTATTTAGTTTTGTTTTTTTATTGTGAAGGTGGCCAACGGCCGCTGTCAAAATAAAAAAAAACAGAGAAGGTACCTCCCTGAAATGAGAAAGGCACCTCCCTGAAATAAGGTTTTGCAGGTTGGGACGTCTGTATATTCCCCCAATTAATTCTAAAACCAGATCCAGTTTTGGAAGTTTGGGCACATCATCATACTGGACTCGAGAAAAAAACCTGTTAGATTTCATCAGCTGATCACTGGCATTTCCCCCAATAACGCCGACACTGGAGGTACCTGGGAGAGCTCTCTGAGCTATTGCCATAAACAAGAACGCTCAGCACACCCAGGCATACATGTTTGTGGATCCTGCATGCCAATCCAAGCACTTGTGATGTCGCCTTCATGTAGGTGAATGTACTAGTCAGGGGATATCCATCATTATAGAGATCACCCCATAGAATTTATGTACATCTCTATTCTACTAATAGGACGCAGCCTCCCATCAGCACCTAATACGCTGCCATTACATAATCGTGTACAGTCTCCGTACAGCAGTCCGTGCCGCCTTCTCCCTACCGTGTATCCCTTCTCCAGGTCACTATCTTCATAGCGAAACGATGGAATGTAAACCTCCATCGCCCTCTCCGCTCACAGCGCACACAGCCACATGGGCGGGCTCTGGAATGTCTCCCTGTGACGTCACACCGCGTAATGATCCTACAGACCGTCCCCGAGCTGGGGGAATACTGAGGACGAGCCGTGCGGGAGCCGCTGTCATGTGACGCGTCATGTGACTCCGAGCCGCTCCATGTGACTCCGAGCCGCTCCATGCATGGAGCTTGAACCCTGGAGCCGGAAATGTTTGTACACATAGCGGTGGGAGCGCTGTGAGGATGTGTGTGCTGTTACTGAATGCTGCACGGATCGGAGCAGGATATGGGAAGCCACCTGTCATTTTAGTAGCTGGAAGCAGAGATCTGTGTAAACAGGGAGAGGGAATGGGATGAAACGACAAAAAGTGGAAGACAGGGGCAGGGCCCAACTGGTCCCTTGTTGCTCTGGAAATATTCAATTTTTTTTAAAATATCTCCATAGACGATTCAATCTGACTGTACAAACTACTTTAGATTTACCAAAACATGGGTCTCTATACACTTAAAGAAGAACTCTGGACAAATAAAAAATGTATCCCTTGCAATGGGGCTACCCTCGCCCTGCAAATGTTAATTGCTTGTTTTGCTAGAATAACAGAGACATACTCATCTGAACCACAGAGTGGATTGGCTCCTAGACCAGTCCCTTCAGCCTGTCTCTCCCTCTGCTCCTGCAGTCTAAGGTCCTGTGAGTCATCATGTCCCATACAATGTATAGAGCATGAGGATGCCAAGGAACATTCAATCACTGAAGGGGGAGAGAGGCCAAAGGGACCAGTCTAGGAGCCAGCCAAGAACGCAGTTCAGGGGAGTATAGCTCTTGTTATTTTAGCTCCCTAGGTAAAGCAAACAATCAACCCTTGCAGTGGGGGGTAGTCCCACTGCAGGGTTTAAGATTTTGTTTGCCAGGAGTTCTTTAAAGCTGACCATGCACTATACAATCTGATTGTGCAATCTACCATCAACTATGAAGCCTCTCTGATTTGATACAAATGCAATGAATGGTTTGTTCTAGTACAAATAAAAGAACATTTTACAATCTGATTGCATCCAGCTTTACAGTCTGAACAAATAATATTTAGTAGGGCTGCAACCAATCACTAATCACTAATAATCCATTATGACAATAGTTGTCAACTATTCTCTTTATTGATTAGTTGGTTGGATCCCCTAGCTCTCTCCTCCACGCTGGGAGGAGGGCACAGCAAGCAGTGGGTGGGTGCAATAACCAGCCTGCTATTTGAAATGGCCAATAGGAGGCTGGCTATTGCACCAGCCCACTACCTGCTGTATTTACATTCAGCTGCTGTCTGCGGAATCTTGCCACTGGCAGCTGTCATTCCCTGGCTGAAGCTATTCAAGCGCCATGTGCTTACAATTAATTATTTGTGCATGCAGTTTTATTCTGAAGTAAACTTTATGTTTGTAACACTGCATTTGTGTATTTTATTTTAAATTAAGGATGGGATTTATTTAATATAAAAATAATCGGCTAATCGATTATGAAATCAATCATCAGTTGCAGCCCTAATATTTAGGTTGACCAAATGTATGTAATATGAGAACCTACCTAAATCAAATTGTATGCAGTCAGGGAGGTCCTTGCACTACATGGTTGTTGGTAGATCTAAAGGAGATTGAAAAAGCAGATTGTAACATGTTTACAGGAGATTAACCACACCCAGCGGGTTCACGAAAATGTACGCCCCCGCTAGAAGTGGTTATACCAAGAACACGGCTGCTGCTGCATATAATTATTTGATTTTATATTTGTTACATATCCCCATTCACATTGCATGACCTAAAAAATATATTAGAAATGGCTGCTTACCTTTTTACTTTCTTAAAACTCCTACCTAGCTTCCTCGTGTGAAGTTATGTTTACTCTAATGAATTCTGTCTGTACTGTGCTGGCAGATCTCATCAGTTCTAAGCTAGATCTGAACACTGTCTGTCCTATCAAAGGGTTAAAGACCTCGAAGGATTGTATATTAATGAGAAGAAGCTCAGTATGTCCCTCTAGATTCACTTTTAAACTACTAAAAGTAGCCTGAAATCTGCACAAAGGCCTTCACCAAAGAAACATCTAAAAGGCAAAGAATATATATTTAAAAGTTATTCTGTGATATACTGTGTGAACACATAACAAACATACAGAGGGGTTTTCTCACATTTAACTGCAAAAGTTGAACTACGCTTTAAGAATGATGAAGCATTCCTATAAAGAAATACTTGCTGGTTATCCAGCGTATTCTACAATTTCATGAGGCACGATGATAGAAGTTTATCTTATGTGGTTGTTCCTGGCAGATCTAAAGCTTCCAGGATTTGTATTCGTTATTAAAGCAGGGAGTTAAAACTGAGACGGTAACTGTTAGTATAACTCTTCACATGTCAACCAACACTTAAGCTTGACAGTAATATTAGGTGCCTGAAAAACTATTGGCAACTAGAAGAAGGCAGGAGGGAAATTCACGAATGATAACGCAAGAAGGAGTAACCTAGTCCACCATTGCTGTAAATTCTGTTCCTGTGAAATGAGATTGTGGCATTGGCATTAATACAGCTCAGCATTTCCTCCTAGTGATGTGGGTTTCTTCAGGCCTTAGGAATTGCATTATATACACAGACATCCCAAGTCTCCCGGATGTTCCGGGAGTCTCCCGCTATTAGATAGCGGCTCCCGGACGCCCGCAAGAGAGACATTTTATCCCGGAAAGGATTGAAACCTTTCCGGGTCTGCTGCGCTCGCCGCTCACGAGTATAAATAAAGTTTTTCGCTGTAAGAGAAAAAAAAGTTCATGCCTGCAGATCCTGTAAAGGTGGCTGGTCAGTGGGAGGGGTTTAGGCACGGCAGGGTGGCTTGTGATTGGCTGGAGACAAAAGTCCCTGAGCTAGCTCTGCAGACACTTTGTGATGAGTGCTGAGGGGGAGCCGATAGAAGACGCCTGTGGAGGGTGAGTGGCACACTTCCTAGTCTTGTCATATACTGTAGTGTTAATAATCACAAATAAAATAAAAACATAATGTAATTAATAATAATAAAATGGTATTATATCTACTATGTTTGTGTGTATGTATGTATATGTATATATATATATATATATATACACATACATACACTCGCACATATATACTATTATAATTATTATATTATTTTTTATGTTATTATTAATTAAATAATGTTTTATATTTTATTTGTGATTATTAATATTATATGCTGCTGTTGTAAATCAGCAGAGGTGGACCTGAGGTGCTCCTCTGCTGATTGACGGCAGCAGTGGGTGGGTACAAGAGCAAGCCTGCTATTGGCTATTGCAATTTGAAATGACCAATAGCAGCCTAGCTATTCATTCCCTTGCTGTTTATTTTTTTTATTGTGAAGGTGGCCGACGGCCGCTGTCAAAATAAAAAAAACAGACAGTACCTCCCTGAAATGAGAAGGGCACCTCCCTGAAATAAGCTTTTGCAGGTTGGGATGTCTGTATACAGGTATTTAGCTCAAGGCAGTGGTACAATAGAACTGCACACAAAGCACTGTAATGATTATGCTATAAGAGTTCATATTCATTAACTGGATGGAGTTTGACAAATAATACACAATTTCTTGTCCTACAGCAGCACACAGTGGATTAAGTTTCAGCCAATATGACATATGTGTTGTGAAATATTATAGGGCTGTGCAAATTAACGATTAATTTCTCGATTAATCGTTAATCTTTTTAATCAATGAAAAAAAATTTCGATTAATCGAACACAAACATTTTAGTCATTACCAGCCCTAAAATATTATAAATATGAATTTATGTGGTGGGTAAAGAATGTGTAGAATGCAATCTTCAAGTAAATTCAAGGCAATTCTGTTCTTTTTCACAGTGTAGTGTTTCTTGAATCCCAGAAGCAGATGACTAGTCTCACAGAGTATATACAAAATAATATAATAATAAAAGCCTAATGAGTCCTTTTCAAAATTCTGGGTTCTTCATTTCATGATACAGATTCTCCACACATCCAGCATATTGTATATGTCCAATGTATATTATTATTATATAGGATTTAACAGTTTGCGCAGCGCTTTACAATATAAGGAAGACATTACAATCACAATACAAAGTCAAGACAAAATGGTAAGGAGGGCCCTGCCTGTGAGGGCTTACAGTCTAAAAGAATATATGCACCTATGTGTCTTCCATACACGTGTTTGCCTCAATATACTCTATACCAGGAGTACCCACATGTTGGTCGCCCAGCTGTGGTGAAACTACAAATCCAATAAAGCATTGCAAGACTCTTGACAGCCACAGGTATGACGTCCAGAGGCAAATGCATGGTGGGAATTTTAGCTTAACCACAGCTGGAGGGCCAAAGTTTGGCTACCCCTGCTCTTTAATTAGGTCCTTCCTCTCCTTCAGCCTTTCCTTAATATACAGTTTACTGCCAGTCACTAACACTGTAGAGGTTTCTGTTGATGCCTTTGATGTTACATCAATTCAAATAATGATTTGTGTTTATCTAATGGCAGTTAAATAAACAGGTTTCTTTTGAAGAAAAATTTCTACAGCTGTTTCAGTTGTGCCCGTCTCCGGGCAAACTAAAAAAACTACCCTTGCAGTTGGGTTATAACTACTTGCTTATGCCTAGGGGTCAGGAATAGGCTGTTTTACTTACCTGATTCCCTGTCCTGCTGGCTCCCTGTGGGCTGCTAGACTGGTCCCTGCAGCCTCTTCTTCCCTTTGCTCCGACTGTTTAAGGAGTGTTGATGTCATCATGTCCAGTCTCGGATCCATAGATCTGCCTTAAGCTGCCCATACACTGCTCGATTCTCGTACGAGAATCGCGGGAAATCCCGCGATCGTACGAGAATCGAGCAGTGTGAACGAAGACGTGCGACCGCTTGCGCACACTGGCCCGTCCGGCTTTTATCTTACAAACATGCTACACACCCGCCGAACATCGTACGATGCTCGGCGGGTTTTCGAACATGTTCCTAAGATAAAAGTCGTGCGACCTTACAGTAGTAGAGATCGCACGGCTTCCACACACCTTACGATAATCGTACGATCGCGGGATTTCCCACGATTATCGTACGATTATCGTAAGGTGTGGGAACCCCAACACTGAGGTGTCTTATATCAGCCAAAAGAATCCC